TCACATGTTGTGATCTTCAATTCAAAATTCATCTTTATTTCCTGGAGACTCCAGGACAATCCTGAAGGGTTGGCAAGCCTAACAGCAGATTGGTTTGCCAGAAAGAATTTGCACAACAGGGTGGTCACCATTGAAACACTGCAAAATCTAAAATGAGCCCAGAATGCTACCGATCACTTGAACATATGGGAAAGAATTGTAAAGTCTGATTGGTCACTGACACACTTCAGGCCTTCCAATTATTACATACAATGCCTGAGGGTACATCTACACTACGAGATTAGGTTGAATGTATTAAGATCTATTTTTAGCACTCGATTTTGTGAAGTCAAAGATGCATGGCCTTGTGTTTTCCTCTCTCCCTTCTTCTCCTGAGAAGCTGTGCACAGGCCTGTCAGCTTTCAACTTTACCTCTCCGGCATTATTTCAGTTATACAAAAGTCTCTTTTTGACATAAAGGAAAAGTTGCTTATGGCAGGAAGGATGCAATGGAAATAGATTCAGTGTCAAACATTATTCTCTCTGCACCATTTCATCAACCGTTTAGATTGGACATTAGGAAAAAATTCCTAACTGTCAGGGTGGTCAAATATTGGAATAAATTGCCAAGGGAGGTGGTGGAATCTCCCTCTCTGGAGATATTTAAGAACAGGTTAGATAGACACCTATCAGGGATGGTGTAGACGGAGCTTGGTCCTGCCTTGAGGGCGGGGGGCTGGACTCGATGACCTCTCGAGGTCCCTTCCAGTCCTATTATTCTATGATTCTATCTCTAGCCATGGTGCAAAACGGCCTGAATCTACTGCCCTTCAGAGCATGCTGCAAGGTCACCGGCATCCCCATTTTTTTGCTCACACTTGGTGGGGGTGGAATATACAGAGAACCAGGAGTCCAGGGTAAGATGGAGAACTTATTTGCTCTTTGTCTGATGCTGGCTGCATTTTGTTGAGGGACAAGGACTGACTGGGGTGTTTTATCGAAACTAAATTAAATAAAATGGAGCCAGGATTCAAAAGCTCAATGGTTTTTCATGCAGGGATGTGTAAGACTCAACTCCCACTTATTTCAAGGAGCTATCTAGCCCCTCAGTGTCTAGTAACAGAAAAAAAATAGTGTTATGTTTTCCACCAGGTGTCTGAGTCTCCACTGCTCTTGCATCTTGTGTCGTCATTCACATCAGTGTAAAATACTGCCTTTCTCTGACCTGGTAGGGTTTTGCATTCACTTTGCATGGGTGTAAATGGCTACATATGGTTCAGTTCTGCCAGGGAAGATCTACAAAGGGATTTTGGGAGCTTAAATGCTCTTTCCGCTTGTGACAGGGCTAGCCTGCCCTGCACTGAGCAGGAGGGAGGGGAGCCCGTCCATTGGGTAGAATATGCCCCTCCCCCACAGCCCTACCGGGCATGCTCGCAGTGCAGCCTCACTATAAAAGGCTGCTGGGCTGCTCAGTTGGGGTGGACTGCCGGGGAGGAAGGAGCGCCAGCCCCAGGTGCAGGGCTGCTGCCGCCGCTATTGCTGCTACCATCCCCGGGGTGAGCACGCCCCCAACGCCGACTCCAGGGGGCCCGCCTGCCCCGCTGCAGTGGACAACCCCTGCGCTGCTGCCCCAGAGATGGGACCGGCTGACTTTGCTGCTGCCGCCAGCCCAGCGTTGCCAGGTGGGACCTCCGTCGGCCACAAGGCTGGGGTAGGAAGCAACCCAGGGCAAGGGGCAGGGAAAACCCCAGTGGGCTTGGCGCATTTTGGGGAGGACACCCCCACCCCCGCTGAGCCAGTGGTGGGAACCACCCAGCACTATTAGGGCCCTGGGTTGGGGTCCGGTGGAGAGGGAGGGCCTGGACCCCCCTGGACTCCTCTACCCCAACCCCTCAGGGCGTGGACTAGGCCTCAGGGCCTGTTGTGACTGCGGACTAGGCCTCAGGGCCTGCTTTAACCCCCCCCAGACCAGGCCTCAGGGTCTGCGAGTTGGGTGGGCCTGCTTTAATCTTGGGGAGGAGAGGATGGAGCGGGGGGGAGGGACCCTGCCACGCTGCTGCTGAAAGATCTGCTCTCAAGTGTCTCAAAGAATGTTACAAAGTGGTCAGTTACATCCTGGTGATGCTGTGACTCTGCAAGCCCAATGGGGTGCCCATGCACTCTGAACTGAACTAGGGATTTCAGTGACCGATCAATTAGTCGCTTCCCCCTTGGCTTCCTCTAGCGCAAAGAGGCAGAAACGGGGGGTAAAGGAATGGGTGCTGGGAGGAGCTGGCTTAAAAGCCAGTTCCCCCAACTCCAGCTCTATGGGACTGGGCGGGGCGCAGAAGAGGCGCTTCCTCTTTGAAATGTACAAGAGCCCCAGTGCCCACACGGAGCCCAGGGTTAGTGGGGGGCTCCCTGCTGGCCCTGGGCTCCACACGGCCTATCAATCTTTGAAAGGTACAAGAGTCTCCCGTTGGGGCTCATGTACATTTCAAAGGCAGAAAGCACGCTAGTCCTATTGACTAATGGAACAGTCGATGGAAATCCCATCAATTATTTGATTAGTTAATTGATATTTAACATCCCTAAACTGAACACTGTTCAAAGCAATATTTCTGCCAGTCCAGCAACACACAGGGGATGGCTAGTATGCAGCCAAACAAACCCAGAGACTTATGTGTAATCTGAAGGCTCGCATGCCAAGATATCCAAGTTAGAATCTTCCAGTAGCTTCATATTGTTACCAGTAAGTTCATAAGGATTTGTAGGTACATGAATGTAACTGAGGGCTAAGTAATCTCTTGCAAAGGCTAGCTATCAATTTAGACCGCACACAGGACAATTGTACTTCATGAGGTCTGTAGAACAGAGATGTAATAAATGTACAACTAGTGTTGGAAAATACGCTTTACTTCCGTTTTCCCTCCAACCCATTTACAGACAGTTGCTAATCATTTTCACAATGACTTTCAATATGCACTGGTGAAACAATAGTCAAACCTCTTTTGTGACTCAGTCCTCATCTAGGCTACAAATGTAAGCCAGTTATGTCGCTCGGGGTGTGGAAAATCCACTCGGCTGAATGCTGTTGTTATACCAACAGAAATCCTGGTGGCAGCTCTTCACTAAGCACTGTAGCAGGATGCACCACTGTAAGTGTAGACCAGCCCTCATATACAGTAGAATGGTCTAGACCCAGGCTGAGGAGTACCCAGAGCAGCTCAGCAGGCTGTAAATGTGGCCTTTGTGTTCCTAGAGTTGGAACAGTTGTATGCTGGCCAGTCCTGCAGTGTATCTGAGCAGCCTAAAGGCCCAATTTAAGGACTAGTCAGGTCCGGAATAACTAGAGTCCTGGGCTGTGTCTACATTGGCAAGATTTAGAGCAAAAGCAGCTGCTTTTGCACAAAATCTTGCCACCTGTCTACACTGGCTGCAAGTATTTGAGCAAGAACACTGACTTTCTAATGTAGGAAATCAGTGCTTCTTGTGCAAATACTCTGACGCTCCCGCTCAGGGATAAGTCCTTTTGCGCAAGTATTCTTGTGCAAGAGGCCAGTGTAGACAGGTAACATCAATTTCTTGCGCAAGAAAGCCCGATGGCTAAAATGGCCATTAGAGCTTTCTTGCGCAAGAGAGTGTCTACGCTAGCACGGATGCCTTTGCGCAAAAGCAAATCTCTTGCGCAAAGGCACATGCCAATATAGACGCTCTCTTACTCAAATACTCTAACGCAAAAACTCTTGCGTTTAGGCTACGTCTACACTGGCATGATTTTCCAGAAATGCTTTTAATGGAAAAGTTTTCCATTAAAAGCATTTTCGGAAAAGCACGTCTCTATTGGTAGGACGCTTTTCCGGAAAAGCACTTTTTGCGGAAAAGCGTCCGTGGCCAATCTAGATGCGCTTTTCCGCAAAAAAGCCCCGATCGCCATTTTCGCAAAAGTCTTTCGGAAAGACTTTTGCCCAAACGGGAGCAGCATAGTTTTTCTGGAAAAGCACTGATGATTTTACATTAGATCGTCAGTGCTTTTCCAGAAATTCAAGCGGCCAGTGTAGACAGCTGGCAAGTTTTTCCGGAAAAGCAGATGATTTTCCGGAAAAACTTGCCAGTCTAGACACAGCCTTAAAGTATTTGCGCTAAATCTTGCCAGTCTTGAGGCTTGACAGACTATTATTGCTCTTGCTTTGCCCTCTTTTTCCATCCATGCCTTCTGCACCATGGCTGAGAGGCACTCCACCACAGACTGCTTATGTGACTTTGGGCGAACCGTTTGGTCTCTCTGTGCCTGTGAGCTGGGATAAGACCACCACCCTAAAAATGGGTTCTTAATGAGTTTCCTCCAGTGGACAGGTTGATCTATTAATGTATAGCTGACTTGCTGAGAGGTATAGTGGTTGAAAAACCAATTTCAACTACTCAGTAACTGGCCAATAAATGCTCATTAAATTTGAGACTTACATTATGCAAACCTGCTTGTGTGATATTTATTTACTGTATACAAGTTTTCTTTGGGAGTGTGTGTGTGTATATAAAACACACACATACATAATGTAAAATTGGTTCAAAATATCACTACAGAATTACTGGAGATCAATACCAAATGGCAAGAGACCATCAGTCAGGTACTGTTTTGGACTATTACATGAAATAATGGAAGTGAAGATATTAAAGTGAACAATATGTGTCAGGGTAGAATCACGAACAACTTTTCAATATTGTTTAAAAACAGTGCTTCTTGAACAATTTGTCAACTCTACACAAAAATGAAACCTATTGTTTTAGTATATCTGATCTTATGGAGGCTTTTGATAGTGTACTTTTGGTACAGAACTCCAGAGGCAATGAAAAAAAACTGAAGTAAAGCCAAAGCTTTTGTGAAGCTTCCTGAAGCAGAGCGTCAGCTGGGACAGATGCGCTTTATGAGGTTAACAAGCACTGCATAATGTGGCATGATCCCAAATGTAGTAAAGCTGATACCGTAATTATGGGATTTTCTCCTATTTTCAGTGTTTGTTTTACAAAACAAATTATCAAGGTTCTGTACTAATACACATTTATTTGAAAATGACACAGTTATAAATATGTGTACAAATTCTCCCCATCAAAATGGACTGCATCAGCAACAGGAGATGAATTTAAAAGTTAGTTGTATCCAAACCAAAACAGGGAACAGTACTGTTCAGACAGAGAATAAGCTCCTGTAAGTATTCTCATTTCAGCATAATCTACCGAATTTCACCTTTTGTAAGCTGTTTGGCCAGGGACCAATGCCCCTTTTTTTGAATCTCTACTTTACCTAGCACACTTCTGGCACTGTCAAATGCAAATGACAAACACTATAAAAGTAATGGTAGGCTAAGAAGATGTGCCAAAAGCAATTAATGCACTGTCCAATAGTATAATGGCTGTTTATTGTCTTGTTAAAAGTTCAACTACCATCAAACAGGCTCTCGGCAAATATTTAATTTTTAAATTATGGTTGCATGCTACTGAACCACTCATTTGATGTACATCACTGCAGATTTCTATCCTGAGATTCCCAAGGAATAGTTTTGTGCATATAAATATAGGGACAAATCATGCTCACCCTCCTCGAGCACAATTCTCCTTTTGGTTTCAATGGGATTACTGAAAATAAAGCAAGCAGGATTTGTCTCCTATGGCTTAGATTGCATAGCTATGGATATGATTTATGGATCTATGGCTAGCTGAACAGCAAAGTCTATAAAAGGGATTATTGAAAAAGATATAAATTCTGTTTTCTCAGTTAAATATATTTCAGTACAAAGAACCATGCATCAGTGAGGATTGTACCATTACTCTCAGGCGATGTGTATAGTATACTCTGCTGGGATAGTTTGAAACAGTGTATTATGAATCCAAACACTGTGCCATTGACTGAGCATCTATAGCTTTAAAGGAAAAATCCAAGGAGCTAAAGGCTTGAAGGCCCAGTAAACAAACAACAAGTACTGCGTTTTATAACAACTTCTGAGTGAAACAGACTAAGCTCTGCAGATGGATTCTTAAAATTTCAACACTGGAGTTGAAACACCAGATGAACCATAGCAAAGGATTAAGACAAAATAAAGTGCTTGATTTATTTCCGTTTGGCTGCTACACAAAGGTTAAAGAGTCGCATGCTTTTATTCTTTCAGATGTTGGGCTCAGTTCTGCCTTCATTTATAGTGAATGACAAAACTTGTGCTGACTGCAATCAGTAGGATCCAGGTTCTGTCTGGCTCTTAACAAATAGCTCATCCAGGCCTAGAATGCAATAGAGGCTCAGCTGTGATGTAAGTCGTTTCAATACTTGTTTTTTACATGCACATGAATTTTTTCCAGCACGGTTTTAGTATGTAACTTGGCCCCAGTCCTGCAAACAAGGACTGTGGAGTGATGATGTAAGTGCCCATGAGTAGGCACACCAAATTGTTGGACTGGGGCCTACAGACGCACAATAAAATATGATGATAAGATACAAGTATTCTCTGGATTAAGACCTTAGCAGCTTTTCTAATATGACCACTTCAAAAATTAGTTGGGATAACTCTACCCAGACTATATAGACTGATCAATAAACAGGAGAGGATCTTGAATATATTTGTCATGGTATCTCTTCAATAGAAAAAAGATTTCAGGACTGATTTTAGTTGTTAATCAGACCTTTTTCTAGATTAAACCAATTTTTATCCCTTCTCTGGGGATGAAGTATGAGGTTTGCGGTTTACAAACTGATAGTATATTAGTTGCCTTGAGTTTTGGAAAACTCCATCTGCAGTGTTTTGTTACTTCTGGACACTCGGTTCCTCTTATCTTTGGATGCAGGGGATCCTGGAGTATCCTGGAAAACTGCCCTATTTAAACTAAAAAACTGTATTTGTGCTTCACCCTGTATTTCCAAATAAAACAAATGTGAAAATTTAACTAAATATTAAGGCCCCTTTATTCTTACAACTATAAAATCTGAAGTCAAGTTTATCTTAAATCACAAGCAAACAGTCTACAAAACAAACCTAATTCTTTAGTCAACTACTTTAGTTTAAAATCAAGACAGACGAGAAAATAGTTCAAGAATTTCTGCAGGGAAAGGATTTTTCTGATAAATCAACATTTAAAACAGGGTCCATGATATTAGCCCTTTCTTAGTTTCCTGATGGCATGCGTGGAATGGCCAAAAACTGTATTCCTGGTGGTAATAACCTAAATACACCCTATCATTTTAGGTTAAGACTTTAAAAAACAACTATTGATTTTTGGGTGCCTTCATTTTTTTTTTAAGTGCAGCAACCTGAAACAACTTTTTATGTGTTGATGATCAGAACTTCTGATAATCAAGCTCTTTGTAAAATATCTAGAGTCAGGCATCCAATATCATTATCTGAAATCCTTGGCTTTAAGCTGTAGACTTCAAAAATCCAGTTCTGTTCCTCTTGTAAATCCCTGTTTGTAAGGTGCTTGAGAAGATAAATCCAGGGATAGTTGCTCAGCACTTTCTAACTACAGACGCAACATAAGCTCATAATTAAGAGCTACATCTTTAAGCCAATTTAGCTGGATTATTAAATCAGTTTTAGATAATAATGCAGGCTTTTGGTCAATAGTAAAAGAAGATTTTTCTTGTTAAAGATTTGCAAGAAATGAAAAGCAACTGGTAATGTGTGATTGTGAGGGACGGGGGGAATCAGAGAGGTTTCAGTATTTTCCTATAGCCAAGAAATCATATTTCAGACATTCTTCAGCTAATTTGAAATTCACTGTCCCATCAAATGCCCAGGCTGTAGTTAAGGACTTGTGCAATAAAACCTCTGGCAACAAAACCCAATGCTAATCACATGGGATTGGGCTAACTTTTGTATGTGACCAGTGAGGAATACTGCAGCACTCCAAAGTCAATCATGGCTAATAAAGTCTGTTCAAGGCTTCTCCAGTTCTTATTTCCAGTGGTGCTGTTCTTGAGTTATGGAATGAAATGAATAAGCTGAGGGTGAAAACTCCATGATACCAACTTGGAAAATAAACTATTCACTGTGCAAATAAGTAAAAAAATCAAATCCCTCCTTCTCCAAGAGTAAACTTAAGAAATGTACTGACTCCTCTTGCTAAACAAGCAAGCAATTTTTATTGCTCAGGCTGATTTCACTATTTGAATGATTTTTTAAAAATCAGAGTGACAGCCCACTTGGCTTAGTACCATCAGTAGTTAGTGGTCCATGTGCCAAATTTCACTTTCAAGGAGAAAGCATCCAGGATGGCCCAGTGTCTTGGAGAGATGGCTGCTGCTGGGTCCTATGTTCAAATCAAGCATGTCGATACTTGAAACACTTTTGCCACAGACACTAGCTAGTAACTTGTCTGGTGTATGTGATCACTTGTGGAATGCTGAGAATTTTAAAAGACCCTATCAAGGCTGACTGACTTAAATGCAGAAATAGTGACACCTTTGCCAGCTACCCACACTGAAGGGTTTAGGACTTCAGGTATATGGTGATTTCTTCTTGATTTACCTTCCTCGGTCCTCCAACAAACAGTTCCAAGCTGCTTCCCTCAGATTCATAACTTACTGAGAAGTTTGCAGCAAAGAAAAGAACAGGGGCAAATACAGAGTAAACATCAAGGAAGATTAAACTTTCAGGTCTAAATTTCAATCAAGTTCGTTTTTAAAAGTAAAAGACAATCTTGATTGCATTGTAGTCTAACTTCTACAAAAATGCTGGTCTCTCAGGAGGATACAGCTACTGTGCTATTCAGTCTGAGGGGAAGACATCCCTCTAAATTGCAGCAAAAGTCAGAGATACCACCTAGCTTGTATCAGCAACCGCATCCCCAGCCCTCTGCTATGTCTTTGCTGTCAAGTTTGATGCTGTCTGTGTTTTTCTCATTGAACATGGGGCCTCCGTGCCTTATCATGAGCTCTGTTGCCATCTTCACAAAAGCTTCTTCTACATTGCTGGAGTCTTTCGCAGACGTCTCTATGGCACAGATGATGTCATACTGTTCAGCCAGATTCTGAGCTTCCTCCAGCTGAACCTCTCGAAGGTCACTTAAATCAGACTTGTTTCCTGGCAGAAGAAAATGGAACGGTTTACAGATTAACTTTTTTATAATTCCTGGTATCTGTGCAAATGCTCAGGAGCGGGCATGAAGGAGAAAAGAGACAGTAGCAGGGACCATGGTAGTGGGGTGTTCAGCAGCAAGAGCCTGCGGTGAGGCAGGGAAAACGGGCAGGTGGTCAAAGCCAAAACCATTGCAGGAGTTGGGGATAGAGAAACAAAGATAAAAGTGAGAATGAGCGAGAGCTGCTGCTCAGCCTGCAAGATCTGGATGCAGAACTCTGATCCATGCTGTTATCTATCTATATATTTTAGAAATGTGCGTCTCTGTCTGTCTGTCCATCCGTCTTTGAGTCCGTTTGTTCAAGAACTCCTCCTAAACAGTAAAACAAATTTGGTATGCAGCTTCCTATTCTTCTAACTTAAAGCGAGGTCAGGGATTGTGTGTGTCAGGAAAATGGGAAGTGCCTGGAATGGGATTGTTTTCCATAGTGTGGAAAGGGAAGGGACTGATCAGAGGGACAGCAATACTGCAGAGTGACCACTGGGGGCAGCGAGCATGGGGGACAGCTATACTGCAGTGGCCACTGGGAGCAGCTGCACCACCAAGAGAGTGGCTAGCTGGGGCTGGGGTTCACCATTTTGCTGGCCATCAGACTGGATAAGTGGTCCCTCTGTTCCAAACTGTGCTGGAGTAGGTGGTGGTGGGGGGACAGCTATACTGCAGTGGCCACTGGGAGCAGCTGCACCACCAAGAGAGTGGCTAGCTGGGGCTGGGGTTCACCATTTTGCTGGCCATCAGACTGGATAAGTGGTCCCTCTGTTCCAAACTGTGCTGGAGTAGGTGGTGGTGGGGAAGACAGCCCGCTGGCCAGCAGTCCCCCCAGAAAAGCTATAGCTAGCCCCCCCACTGTCAGTTCCCTCTCTGTCAGCATGGGATGGTCTGTGTACCCCCTCCTCCAGCCTCCAAACTGGGCCTTGGATCACCAGCAGGGACAGCCAGCACTGCTCCCCAGACCCTGTCCCACCTGGCCTCTGGGACAAACTGGTAGGCAAGATACTTCCCCTCTGGGACAAGCTGATGGGTGGACTATCCAGTCCCTGCCATCCTGGGGAGAAGCCAGTGGCCACAGCCCATGCCCTGAGTCTCCCTCCTCCCCACCTCCTGCCCTGATTCCTGCATCCTTCCCTCTGTCCCTCTTCACCCTCTGCCCTGACTCCTGAACCCCCACACTCCCATCCTGCTGCCCTGAGCTCACTACATTTCAAAGGCCCTGCCCTGACTCCGGCACCTCCCACACCTCCAGTGTCCTGTCCTGAGCCCCCCACATCTCCAAAGCTATGCCCTGACTCCTTCACGCTCCCATACCACCAGCCTCCTACCCTGAAGGATCTAGGCAAGTCTTCTAGTATAAAATTAAACTAACATTCACTCTTTGGACTTTAAGCACCAAAAGGCTAACCTGTTGTCCTGCATAGTAAGTATCCTGACACAGTCATTGCCCATGAGAAATGAAATTACACACAGGAACTGGCTTTTCAAAGATCAGGTGCACAGCTGTGTGCCAAACACTCAACTTGCACGTACAACTGCAGTAAATGCAAGTACAGAGCAGGTGCAAAATGGTGCGTGCGTTTTCACCCATGTGCCTGACTCTGAAATTCAGATCTACAAGAACAACACTGAACAGGGAGGGAAGTCAGAGAACGTAAGCTCTAGCAGGTTTTTAAAAAATGAAAAGCAGAGGAAACCTCCTATCTGCCATAATGTGAACTCAAGACATTTAAACTTTCAGGAACTGTCTGTCTGTACTGTGCCTAGCGCAGGGGGTAATGGTCCATTACCTGGGAGCCTAAATCATATGTAATACAATGTGGGGTATATGCTGGACTGAGAAGCAAGAGAATATGGATTCAAATACACAATATACTCCCCAGAAAATAAAGTTGGGAAAAAACAGGTATGCTGAGGTGGTGATATCTAAACATGACAGTGGAACCCAGAAGCCCCAACCTTGGAATCTTGTTTCTGACAGTGGCTTCCCCTGAACAAATTATTTCACTTTATTATGTCTGTTCTGACTTCAGTAAAAGTAGGAAAAAACTCCTACCTGCCTCACAGAGGTGGTGTGAGTGGTTAGTGTTGGCAGAGTGCTTTGATGCTACCTAGTTTTGAGCTCCTCATTCATCCAGAAAGGGATTAATTCCCCAAACTCACCAATCAGTAACTGCACTATGTTGGAACCAGCGTACTTTCTCACATCCTCAATCCAGCGAGGAATGGCCTGGAAGGAGCTTTTCTTGCTGATGTCATAGGCTAAGATTGCTCCATTGGCGCTGCGGTAGTAGCTTTGTGTGATGGTTCGGAATCTCTCCTGGCCTGCTGTGTCCCAGATCTGCAGCTAAACAACATAGATCATGCAGTGAGATACTGGCTAGTCACTCAGAGGGAACTGGCCTTGCCTTTCAGGTTAAAAAGCTTTTCATCCTGTCGTCCTGGATGAAATGTGGCTGAGTCAGGATTTAAATACACACTGAGTTCTGCTGGTTAACAGGACAGAAGGTAGTTCAGCGATTCTATAGAAAATTTGTGCATAAATGTAGTGCTTTTAAAAAAATAATCTTTAAAAAAAATCCTAGGTCCCTCAGCTGAAATGAGAATTTTATACTCAGGGTAACATTTTCATACTTGTTTGCCTAATGTTAGCACCAAAGTCCATAATTAGGCATTTATGCAAAAACGAACTCATTTTTAGGGGTACTAGTATTTCCAACTCCCAATGAAGTCCTTAGGAGCACAGAATGCTCCGTTGCTTGGATATCTAAATATACTACCTAAAAATTTTCCCTCCACACCAATGGGTCCCAACCTTTATACCATAGGCTGGCAAACCCATTCACAAATTTTTGGCGGACCAGTAAAATTTTATTTCCATATTTGCATATTCATTATAGTTATGAATTTTAAGAGGTCACGTGTTATTTTACATCGTTTCTATACACACACAATACATGTCGTTGTAACATGAGATGGGGAATCTGTTTTGGATTGGGGGCCAATAATCCACAGAAAATGTAGTTGGGGGCCACACAGAAGTGAGAAGCAAACCCCCCCCCCAAACCAAAACAAAACACCAACCAAAACCTGACATTCCCCACCCCTGTTGTAACCGATCAGAGTTTGCACAAACCTACAACGCTAAAAAAATTGTTACCAGAATCCCTTTCCTTTCTTATCTTAAGCCATTTACACCTATGTACACTTTGTTTGAAATGTAATCATGCAAATGTCATCAGCTAGGCCTTTTGTTCCAATATTCAAAAGCAGCCTCAAAGCTTTTAACCCATCTGAGATGTTGGCAGAACTCCATACAGCCTGCCCCAGCCCAGGGAAGTGTCCCATGTCTGTAGCCCCGAAAGGGCTGCTGTGCTAAGACAGTCCGGTTCTTGCTGCCTGCAGTCCAGATGGGAGCAAGTTAAGACATCCCAAACAGATGGCCCTGTGTCCCCACCTCACTGCATAGACATCAGCACCCTCCCTCTTTACCCCAATGTAATCTGCTCCCCCCCCAGCCCACCCCACAAGAGAGTCCTATGTCTGCAGCCCAGCTGGGGCTGCTGTGCTGACATATGCAGGGTTTAACTCTTGCTGCCTGCAGCCCAGAGGGAAACAAGTTAAGACACCCCAAACTCCCCTCTGTCCCCACCTCACTTCCCCCACCTACCCCACGCAGTCAGCTCCCCCTTGCCCAGACCAGGAAGCTAGAGGAGTGTGTTTCGTTTCCTAACAGGAAGCTGCAAGATAACCCGGTTGCTGTAATCAAACCTCTCCTCCAGTACTTACTGCACGCTCCAAACTCCCCTTCCCTCTGGCCCTCTCCTGTCCCAGCCACGTACTTCCTCCTTGTGTCCCCTTTCCTACCAGCAAACTCATTGTCCGGAGCAGGGAGCTTCTGCTGCTGAGGGAGTACCCCTCCCCAGCCAGGAAGCTCCCTATGTGGCAGCCCTAAACCTCTGGCTGGGGTTCAATTAGCAGCTGCCCTGCCATACAGCTTACAGCAGGGGTCTCCAACCTTTTTAACCACAAGGTCGCTTTTTGAATTTAAGTGCAATGTAAGTTCTACCTCAAACCCAAATACCCTTGTCCCACTTCCTTCCCGCCCCTTCTTTGAGGCCCCGCCACTGCTCCACCCCTTCTCTGAGGCTTCACCCTGCTCACTCCATCCCTCTTCCTCCTCCATCCTCACTCACTTTCAGCAGGCTAGGGTAGGGGGTTGAGGTGCAGGCTCTGGTCATTGGCCAAGGAGTTTGGAGTGTGGGAGGGGCTCCGGGATTAGGCCAGGGCAGGCCATTGGGATCCAGCAGGGGTTTCAGGGTGCAAGCTCTGGGAAGGAGTTTGGGTGCAGGGGGACTCAGGTCTGGGGCAGAAGGTTTGGTGCAGGAGGTTGGGTGTAAGACTGGGACAGGGATTCAGGCTCTGGCTGGGCACCACTTAACTGAGATGGCTTCTGGCTGGTGGCTTCTGGCATCTCTCTCTCAGGACCATTACATTGCTGACTTTTTACCAACATTACAATGATTGCAGGTTTTGCTGTGCATACATGTGTGACTGATTAGTTTACATTTCTTGATCTTGTCAGCAAAATGCTGAATGGGGAAAGCCAAAGCTGCTATTATTCTGACCAGCTCAACACTCTTCTTTTAATTAAAAAAAATTACTTAAAAGCTTGCCTTGGAAATCCTAAGAACAAAACAACTCCACTTAAAAATAGATGAGATCGTGAAGTGGCAACACTGTTTTCTTTAGACAACATCATTAGAAAACCTAAGCACAGCTGGTGGACAGGTCAGCTGTGTGCCCCCTGCACTCCCCAGTCAGCGTGAAGAACGCAGCAAACTACACTTTCCACTTGCTCCCTAAGGGGAACAGCGAGCAATGTTCCCATACTGATTGGAGGATGGGGGAGCTTCGAGCACCTAGGGGCTCGGAGGGAAAGGAACGTGCCCTCAGCTAGTCTACCTGGTGATTCAGTCTCTTTTCGGAATGGATAATGAGAATCAATCCCATTCCAGGCACATCCCATTTTCTGGCACAACCAAACACCTTGCTTAAGTAATGATAAGAGGAAACTAGATCCTGAATTTGATGGTCCTAGCTCTTACCATTTAGGATGAGTTCTTGAACGAACAGACAGACAGCTGGACACATGGACAGACCAACAAAGTCTCTCAAATATACAGTAGATTTCATAACAATGCTGGGATCACACAGGCAGTATAAGATATGGCGTTCTTAACTTTTTCCTTGTAAAGTGCTTAGGCTTTGTAATTGATGTGATAATGTCCGTCACTTAGCAACCTTAACTGCTGTTTAAACAATTTCTGTTTTTGTAATTACATTGGCAACAAATCACATTAAAACAGTGAGATAGAGGAGTTGGGGAATAAGGGCTCAATTCAACTGAGGACTGTTTTAAAGCAATTATCACCAGGAGCAAGTGGGTACTGGGTAAAGGAAAGGATAAATACGCACTGTTTTCATGAAGTGTGACAGGATATTCTCGCTGAACAAAGCAGAGGAGATGCCCTTGCCACCCGTCTTGTGATGGTAATTTTGTTACTGAAAGCCTATTTATTACATGAGTTGATTATTTTCTGTTTTTTTCTTTGAATTTTGTGGAATCCCCAGGCCTTAATACTGGTTGGCACTGGGAAGAAATGTGCTAAACAGAATGTACTATTTTGACACACAATCATCTACTTGTGCAACACCTACCCCTATTGCAAAAATAATGAGCATACTGCATACAAACTTTGCATCACAAACAACAGAGCTTTCTCCTGTTCTTTATTGCTGTATAAAGTTTAATGGCTCGAATGCTAAATAACTATCAGATAAATTGGGTAAAATGCACATCCGATGCTGTGCATATCCACAGGTAGATTACTTTGAACTGTCCCCCAATGATGTTAAAGCAGCAGTGAAAGAGTGGAGAACTTTCCCTCCGAACCCCTTTTATTCCCCTTTAACATTTTGATAGCAGATGGATCAATATGTTACAAAGAGTTTTGCCAGCTGCCATTACAAACCATACAATCCAAAAGAAGATGGCAGTAAGGTATTCTTCAGGAATCAATGTATTATCATCACTAAATATTACACAAGAACACAGAAATGACTGAAAAGAAAACCTGACTGGAAAAATATGCAGGGCTTGACAAACTGCGGCAAAATCTACTTGCCAGCCCCGCACTGTGCATGCGCAAGACCCACATTGCGCATGCACGCGCCGCCGGTGAACGGGGCGATCAGCTGAAATCTACTTGCCACGGGCGAGTAGATTCACTGATTTGTCGAACCCTGAAAATCTGAATAAATATACCATACACTATCCACATATTTCAGTGTGGATTTAGCAATTCCATATACACTAGGAAAAGGTTTACCAATGTTTAATGGACTCCATTAATAGTCTCTTGTTCTCTAAAGCAAACTTTCTTGTAAGTAGTTTATGCTGAAAACAATGAACAGCTAAATTTTTAGATATAATTCGTAGTTTTTCCAATACCCATGTACTCATCAAATCTTAAGCTATTTTTATTTCCTTCCAACAGCCCTCAGTGGAGAAGGAAAAAGTTAAAAACTATTTAAAAATCAATGGGGCCAGATCTAATGCATCCAAAGGTGCTGAGGGAGTTGGCTGATGCGACTGCAGAGCTACTGGCCATTATCTTTGAAAAATCATGGTGCTTGAGGGAGGTCCTGGGTGACTTAAAAGCTGGTTCCCTCCAGCACCGTCTCCACAGTGCCACACCTCTCCCCGCACTGTCTCTCTCAGAGGCAGCAGCGCAGGAAGGGGCAGGGGAGGCTGCCGCAAAGCAGCCTCTGCCTGTGGCGGACCCAGGCTTGCTGTGAGCAGAGGCTGCTCTGCATCCCACGGAGCAGCCCCTGTCTGCGGTGGCCTGGGCTGGCCGTGAACACAGGTTGCTCCGGCAGCAGCCCCTGCCGGCCTGGCTCTTACTGCATGTAAAATGTAGAGCTGCAGCGGGGATAGCTCCTGGACCTGGGAGCCAAGACTGAGCTGGGCTTGCTCAGTCCTGGATTGTGCCTGGTCGAGGACCTAGCCCTGCTGTAGCTCTGCAGTTGAAATGTAGCTCCTATTACATTTAAACCGCAGAGCCGCAGTGGTGGTAGCTCGACTGAGCGCCTTCCCTTGTCGACTAATCGTGTAGTGGATACAAGTTATAGCCGCTACACGATTAGCCAATTACCTGCCTGTTAACATCCTTAGTACAAAGTGTATTACATTGATGTGTAGGATGTCATTACCTGGTGACTACGGGTCACAGCCAACTTCTAAGAAAGCTCTGATTCAACCAACTGAAAACGGACAGAGTTTAC